TGTGAAAGAAAAGGTCTAGGGTGAGACGAGGCCGTAACTCCTTTCTAAACTCAATGTAAAGATGGCGGGACGACCTGTACACCTCTGAACGATTAGTATCTGTGAGACGTTTATAAGTTTCCCTGCAGTGAAATATTTATTAAACTTATTCAGTGGCGCGGTAAAGAAAATATTTACCCTTAACACGTAAACAGTTCTGTTGATATTAATCACGCTTTGTCGTCACAGCTACCGGTAATAGTATGTTGATTGTATTAATAAAATAATTCTGATTCTAATTGGGTCATTGATCCGTTTGAGCGAAGGCGCAGCAGAACCAGAACCAGGAGGCGCGGCAGGACCAGCAGCAGGAACAGGAGGCGCATCAGAACCGGGAGGCGCGCAGCAGCTTCCTCTCCTAGAGACAAAATGGTGGCTCTCAGTGGAGCTACCGCCCGATCAAAGAAACCCTTTTGTTCGTAAACTCACTTTGAACCTGAAATTCTCCGTTTGTGTTTTTTTTTTTTCTATCAAAGTTTCAGTTTCGGCACCTCGGTATTAACAAATAATCTGGGTATTTAGTCGTGCTGCCATTTGAAAGTTCCCACCGAGGCTGTGGAGTCAGAAAGGATCCTCGCTATGATTCAGCGATATTTGGACACCACCCGATTTTTAATGTTACTGCAGTGTAGGCTATTGTTCATATTTTCATTTTTGCACATCGTATTGTTTTTTTGTGTTTTTTTTTTTTTTTGTTTTTTTTTACCCGCTAACCTGCTCGTCTCGAAAAAGGTGCAGTATGAGGAAGATGTCCATTGGTTCAAATATTATTTGAAGTAACTAGCTTTAGGCCTACTTTTATTTATTTTTGATCCAAGTTATATTGTTTTACACCGTAACTCATCGTTGTGTGAACAGAAAATAAACAGTAAATTAACATGCGCTGAACTTCTCTCTAACAGACCTGGCTCAAAGACACAACTTGAACTTAGGAGTATGGTGTTTCAAAAACACAGCACAACGACACTTTAACAGTCGTCTTTATTTTGGAGGCATGTTTTGGATATAGTTTTATTCCATGTTAGAATATATTTATAGGCTTCATATTTCTCAGGTTGTACATCCATTCATCATCAGGGTGGGGGAGCACATTTTTATTTGGTGAAACACATTGGAATTATTATTATTGTTATTAGGCAACAACAACAGAGCTCAAATTACTAGACAGCTAGTGGCTTGTTTTTACATGAATTTGTTGTATACTACCACCTTTTGTTACTTTCCATCCTTCTACTAAAGCATTCTTACCTGAAATACATTCTATAAGCCCTAAATTAAGTAAAAGATATAGAATTTAAAATATCGTAAAACTATAAAATTTTATAAAAGGTAAATGTAGCACCTATACAATTTCAGAGAGATGAAGCCGCGTTCCCCCATCAGATAAGGTTTCCTCTGCATCTCTGCACCGCGCAAGCTGCAGAAAATCCCCTACTTATAAACATCAGGATCTGATGGGCCTTTAAACCTTTTCAGATAACGCCCCCCCTTCTTAATATGAGGGGAACGGCATCTGATGGGCCTAATTGTTCTGTCAGGCACTGTTCTCCCTGCAAGGGGGGAACGGTATCTGATGGGGGAACAAGGCTTGATGTAGCAGCAGTCCCACCACGAGCCTGCAGAATAAGCAGGAGAAAATGCATGGATGGATGGATGGATAGTAAATGTAGCTAGCAAAGAGTAAACGTGGTCCAACAATTATAAAAGAAAAAATATTTTCCCATCATATTCATCACAATGCTACTGCATAAATGAATCTATTTTGTACATGAATTACACCCTAAGTTGTTATAAACTGAAATGAAAATCCCACATGATTGTGCTTTCATGCTTGCATCATCAAAGCGGATGATGCAAGCATCAGTGGCTTCATAACTGAGAAACCAAGACAAAGAACACGTGCTCTGGAAAGTTTGCTAGAGTGTATTCTTTGATATAGTTTATTTATCTTTTTTTAAAGAATGTAGTCAACAACAGAGCTGGTTTGTGATGCATCAGCATGCAGGGATTTGAAAGAGGTGCAAAGCTGATACTGATGGGGAAAATACATCTGAAAGATGTAAGAATGTAGCATTTTCTACTTGTAATTCTTTGTTGGTTCAGAAATAAACTTACTTTTTAACTATCTTGGATTTTTTTTTCCATAATGTGTGCAGAAATTGCTGAGTCCAAAAGCCAAAAAAAAAAAGGGAAGCTTTTCATTGGAAAATATGAGCCACATACAAAAGGTACTCTATACTGTAAACAAAACAGATTTTAAATTTTTTTAGCAGGATCTCTTTAACAAAGTACACCGCCACAAACACATTTGTGTTATTTTGCACCATCCTTGTGGGGGCTAGGAACTACCTGATGACATCTTTTTGACACATGTCTTTTTTTATGACAACTGCAGCACACAAGTTACCTTTAACCTGTTTAACATTTAATTTACAAGCAAACATATAAGGCCAAATTATCATAATTCGTAAAAATAACTTTAATAAGGTTCTATACAGTTAAAGTGGGAGGTGAAGTTGCATTTTCAATTTCTATGTCTATTGACAGACATGTTGGACTTCAAAAAATGACCTCAAAATATGGTAAATTTCCTGAAAATAACTGTACTCGACCGTAATCTGAGCAGAAAAATAAGACAATCTGTCAGTGGAAGAGAGTTTTTAACCTTAAAATAAGATTATTACATATTATGTACTTGAAATAAGGTAAAAAAAAAAAAAAAAAAAAGCAATTTTTTCATAATCTAAATGTGAATCTTAGTTCATTTGCAAATTGTCATATATACCCACCTCAAATCAAGACATCAATGTAGTATTGCCATGTATGGACTGCGGAACATTGTTAAGCTGTTTTATATATATATATATATATATATATATATATATATATATATATATATATATATATATATATATATATATATATATATATATATATATATATATAATACTGATATTACTGATTAACTGCGCGACCGAAAGGCGATTTTCCGTTTTGTTGAGTTTTGAACAGTGAAGATCCTGCAACATAGGTTTCTGAGACCTAATATGGGCTCTTTTTTTTTCTTTACAATTGGCTAATTAAAAGGTTGCAGTGTTTCCCTGAAAACTGAACTGTTTTATCTCCTCGCTAATATTCTGCCATATATTATGATTATATTTGCCTATTTTGATTTATTTGCCCTGATTTTCCTCTGTGTAAGCGGTCCCCCGCCCGTCACATTAAACCGTTAAATTGACTCATTCAATTAGAGCATGGGCGTAGGTTTGCATAGGGACCATAGGGACATGTCCCTACCAAAATTTTGAACCGACCTAATTGTCCCTACCAATAATTGGATGTGAGCAACATGTTTAAAATTTACAGTAGTAGTTGTTGCAGCAGTGGCTTCTTTTCCTCTCTCAGCTCCTCTGCCTGGTCTCTCCTGTCCCTTTCACCTAGCAGCGCATGGAACTGTGCTGCGCTGTTTAACTCAACTCTCATTGGTTGTTCTCCCTTAAGTTCCGCCTTCTCTCTCTCTGATTGGCTGTTTTCTAGTCCGCGTGTGCTTGGAGCACAACATTGAAAATGTATTCACACTAATGCAGCGGTTACTGCAATTAATATTAGGCTACAAAACTAGTCCCAATAAAAAAATTGAATATCATGTACACTAAAAAACAAAAACCTTTTTTTTTCTTTTATAAAACGAAATATTCTGAGTCAGCCAGGAGTTCTGAAGACTGCTGAAAAAATGGGCAAATAAAGGCTGTAAGCATCAACATTTCTGATTCTTAGCCACAGCCAACTAAAAAAGAAAATGTGAGGGTTTCCTTTTTACCGATATTTAGTTGATATTACTGTTTTCATTTTTTTGTTTCTATTTTTTACAATTTTGATATAATAACTTATCTAAGTGGGTTGCTCTATGGGGAAAGGCACATTTTACATTTATATTACTGTATGTTTTAAAGTCTCTATTCTCCAGTTAATGATGAATCACTTACTAAATTAGTTGACGATTATTGAAATAATCAATTAATATGATTCATTTTTTCAGCCCCAGATGAAATACATGAAATTGGCTACACAGAGTAACTACAGCCCAGATGTTCAACTTTTATAGTGAAGTTCATATTTTAATGAATGTATTATTTTGCTTGGTTCAGAGAGAGAATAGTAGGTAAAAATATTAGAGTGGAGTTTAACTCTGCACAATTCTATATCTTCAAAAGAAAATACTGTATTTACCTTCTCTCTTAGTCGTTCAAATGAAACCGTTTTCAAAGTGGAAAACAGTCCTAATTCCACATTCATCAGAGCCGGTGATACTTCAAACATTGATAAACAGCATCTAATGAGTGTAGAGCTTATAACATTTTTATTAATGGAGCAAAATGTTGCTTTTCTCTTTTAACAATGAATTCCTCTTATCAGTACGGATGCTCACATCGAGCATAAAAAAGGGCATGCATATTGCATAGCACCAATGGCACCAGACCAATAGTGTCCCTACCAAAGTTCAAATCAAACCTACGCCCTTGAATTGGAGCATGATCCGCTGCAGCCTATTTCAATTCACAAAGAATAAAGTTAATAAACTAATTTAAAGCGAAAGTGTTCAGTTCAGTCTAGGCGTTGGCTTGATTCTATGTTAAAATTCCGCTAAAGTCACGTAACCCTTATTTCTGCTTGGGGAGAAGTAAATATAAAAGGGCGTATAAGAGATTCAAAATTAAATAGCATTACTTTATTTTGACATGGAGGTGGGCAGCACAGTATAATCAGAGAGGGAGGAGTCAAAGGTGGATACGGTGTTTTCATTGGCTGGAAGCCGTTTGACGGCTGACCAATCACCGATCTACTTTACGCCCATTCTCGTTGATTTAATTCCGTTTTCTGCCAGTTTATCTCCTTTTGTGATTTTTGAAAATCCGTTTAGTTATTGCTACATCTAAAATATCTATTTTTTTCTCTTACAGACTTGGGACATGGTCAGTGAAGATGAGGATCTGAGGTTTAATCCAAGAAAAATAAAATAAACGTATTTTTTTTAAGCATTTTCTTGTAGGGAAATCTTACATAATAAAAGCCAATAAATTGGCAGAAGAGTTTAGCATAGAAAATAAACATTAAACGTTTCAATGTTTTTGTCAATAAACACTTCTGACATTTAAGTTACTACAGCTGTTTATTACACCTGGGTAATCTACACTTACTGGGACAATGAAAACTAATTATTCCGTAGGTGCAAGAATTACATAAAACAAGCAGCAAAAATGCAAGGAGGGCCAAGAAAGCATTAATTGTAATAGGAAAATGTCCAAATATCTATATTAGAAAACACTTTTTAGAACATTGCTTATAAAAATGTTCAATAGCCCATTTTATGAGGTAACCAGGAAGCCATTTTATAGGCAAAAATATGAAGAGACCATTTAATCCCCCAGTGACTACTTTCTGCTTCCTTTTATTTGATTTTATTACAGAGCATATGCATATTTAACCTTACAAGAAAAGTTCTTACGAGCATCCACAAACACACATACATACTCCACTCACATGAAAACAACTTGTTGTTCTGTTTTTTCCCCCCCAGAAATTAAAAAGAAAATCAATGAAAAACTCACATAATAGCGAGCGTGGTCAATTTAAATTAAAAGGTCATTAAAAATAATGAGTCAGAGTGCAACACCAACTCTGTGATGACAAAGCAACATCTTGTGTGTTGTGGAGTTTTAACAAGAAGGGAAATTTTCCTGCATCCATGTGCAGACCTTACTTTTAGTGAGACATATCACTGTTTTAGGAGCATCATGATTTATTGTTTTCAAATAACCCCAGGATTATTTAGACCAAATCTGATACGAAGCAGCTAGAAAACATGTTTTATTTCGATAGACGTCTTCAGCTGTACTGTAGTAGAGAGCAGATTTTTAGAGGGCCAGACTTTATATATATATATCCCATAAAGAATAAAAAGACATATTGATCAACCAGCTCTCACCTGTGTAAAGTATAAGGCCATGGAGCTCCACCTGGGGGGCAGAAGACTAAATATATATGCAACAAGGATAAAGTACTGTGCAAAAAAACTAAGGTACAGGCCGCTAACCACCTATCCATCTGTGAAGGTTTTCCAAAAACACTCAGGGTGGGAGCCTTACACTTTAACACACTCAATTTACTAGTTTTTACATGATTGTAGTCATATAAGGAGCACAGGAACAGTTTACATGACATCCTGTCAGATTCACGGTAAAAACCCACACAGAAGAAGGAGAACATCATATTAGCAAATATTTTTCTTGTGCCATTCCAGTAAACTGGGCGATGCTGAGAATGGGAATGTAAAAATACAGTAGAGATTACCCAACCAGAGTTCTCTTAGTGCAGAGAAATTAAGAATTAACATAATAAAATATGATTCAGGATAATTAACTAAATTTAACCTGTTATAATTTTTCATTGTCTTACTTGAGACTTTAAGAAGTTTTAATTTTCGGCCTACATGGATTTGGACACATTGTTTTAGCCTAGTCTCCTGTATAAAGCAGATATAATGGATCACATTGTAGTAATGCTGATTCTCTGCTTTTAAATCTGACTAAAAAGTGCAAAAAAAAAACCAAAAGCGGCTGAATTGTGCTTTTCTCATATTCCCAACGGGGAATCTGAACCTTAAAAAGGAAAATTTTTAACAGCAATCCATTACATTAGTAAATAAGAAGCAGACTGCATGTCCTTTTTGTTATGCCCACATTATTGGTGAATACAGATTTAACAGAGCCCTTTAGTTGGAAAAACAAAAACACATTCACAAGAAGTCAATCAAATCTTTAACCCATCAAAGACAGAAGATATCCATACAGACAAACAAAACTAAGCCCGTCTGCTTCTGAAGACGAGCACAGGCCCCATCCTCTCGTGAGTTACCTCAGCGGTACTCTTTGCATCAGTTTCTCAAAGTTCATCTCTTTTTTACGTTTCTTTCATCTAAGGGCTTCTTCAGTTACCAGCAGTCTGGGAAACATGATGATCCCTCCAGTGGAGGTCAGCCATCTCCTCTCACTTCTGGTGGGAACATTTCAGAGGCTGGAAGTAAAGTGAAAGAACTGTGCAAGAGTCTGTATGTGCATATATATTTAAAACCTATTCATAATCATATCTTTTGATCGGCCCTATCTTGTCTCTCACCCAGCCTCCCCCCTGCTTGTCTGAACCATCATCTTTATTTCCTAAGTCCTTTCTCAGATTCAGTCCTGTCCTGCAGGCTCACTGAGGAAATGAAGGCATTAATATGCCTTCGATATTAAGTCCATTTATCTGCACAGAAACAAAACTGATCCAGTATTTTATCTCCTGAAATCATGGCCTAAATTTCATCGTATTACTAATACAGGATATAAGTAAGCAGTGAGGAGGGATTTTTTTGTGTGTGTGTGTGGAGATCTGGCCAATCCAGCATGGTCTAGGCATCAGTTGGTCTCGTAGGAGGAGAGCAGCGCTGCATCCACAGGCTCCATGCAGGAGGGGCAGGTAAAAGATCTCATCAGCCAGTCGTCTATACAGTCCATGTGGTAGATGTGCATGCAGGGCAGGAACCGGATGGGGTCGCCATAAACAAAGTCCATCATGCAGATCACACACCTGTGGAGGTAAACAAGATTTTCAGATATGGTCAATATATTTACTTTATTGAACTATAATTACTGCGATGGACTGGCGTCCTGTCCAGGATGTTCCCCGCCTTTCGCCCGAAGAAAGCTGGAGACGGGCACCAGCAACCCTCGTAACCCCACTTGGGATAAAGCGTGTCAGAAAATTGATGGATGGATGGTTGGAATAATAATTATTTAAGCTTTACATAATCTTCCCTTTAAAGCTCAGTTGCAGTTTCAGGAACAGGGAAGCAGTATCTACTTTTAGTTGTTGGCTTAACAGCTGCTTTAAAAAATGGCAGATTAATACCACAAACTGCAGCATTTTTAAATGGGACTATATTTGATAAACCAACACAAAGAGGTGGGTTATATCTTGATATACTGTATATATAGCTTATTCTTAATGCACCTTTTTCCTCCTTGTTTGCACCTTCTGTAACTTCTATGCCAATATGTGACAAGTGAATTTCTCAGCTGTGAGATCAATAAAGCTCATCTAATCTAATCTATGGAAGTGTACGGGTAATGATAAATCGTTTAAACCCCCCCCCCCAAAAAAAAAGGAAAATACCCTAATATATAGTTTTATGGGAAGTTCCTCAGTATATATACTAAGAATAAATGTAGTACATTTACAAATTAGTACTTCAGTACATTTAAGTTTCTGGTTGGTATCTGAAACTTGCATTAAAAATATTAAACAAGTATAAATACTTTAAGCAGGAATATTGGCTGCTGAAGGCTTAAAATGTTTTTTAATCAAACTATCCAACATATGGAGAGTCGTTCCCTTCTACCCAGATTAGCATTAGGTTCGTACTCACTCTCTGATCTTCTTTTCAGAGCCATCACGGCCCGGGTCGTACACACCCTTGGGGAGGTGCTGGATGAGTCCGATGCGTTGAGCAATGCGGACCTGCTCTTCCTCAGTCAGCTGAGTGGCCAGCCGGGCCTGGCTGGGCGTCGGGTGGTACACAGGCACATGGATCTGCTCCTGCAGACAGAGACTCTCATTAAAATATAGCCAACAAGTGAAGGTCACTCCAAAAACACCTTTACATTTTTACTGGTATGTTCCCCCAGATCAAACCTTTTATTGGAGGTTCGACCAACATGACTGGTTTATTAAGATCTGCATCTAATAAACAAGGACAATAACAGCAGCAGAGGCCACCAATGAGCTTAAGCATAAACATCCTGTAAAATTACACAACTATAATGTAAGGCAAGGCATGGTTTATTTGTATGGCACAATTCTAAACATAGACAATTCAAAGTGATTTACACAAATTAGATAATAAAATAGAAGATAAGTAAAAGCAGAATAAAAGAAAATATGTGTAAAACAAATAAAACAGTTGGACCACAACCTTAAACTAATAATACCTCAGTTAACAGTTTGATGTCAACAGTCAAAGGCATTTCTAAATGGGTTTTAAGTTTGACTTGAAAGGCTTTCAGCACTTTTCAAGTCTTCTGGGAGTTTGTTACAGATAAGTGAAGCATAATATGACCTAAATGCTGCTTCTCCATGTTTGGTTCTAGTTCTGGGTGAACAGAGTAGGCGGGAACTAGAGGACCTGAGTGGTCTCGGAGGTTGATACACTAAAGACAAATCTGTTATGTAGGTGCTGATCCATTCAGTGACTTAAAGACTCTGAGCTGCAGGGAGCCAGTGGAAGGACTTCAGACATATGCTGATGTGCTCTACAGTGTTTTAGATCAGCTGCAGCTGTCTGATGGACTTCTTTGGCAAACCTATAAAGACACTATTGTGTTAATCAGTCTACTAAAGATAAATGCATGTAAGTTCTTCAAGATCCTGCTTGGAGATTAGTCCTTTAATCCTGAAAATGTTCGTCAGTTGATAAAAGGCTGACTTGGTAGCTGCCTTTACATAGACTTATGTTATCCTTATACATTTTTGCACTGATGTCTGCACCACTGATGTGAAATTCCTTCAGTACAAACCAATGAAAGTACCTAGTTGAATTTGTAGGTTTCAGAACCAAAAATACAGCCTTTGTTCTTAGCATGTATATTACCATCTGTCTCATTATGACTTATGAGAAAGGTTTCCATTCACTGCTGTCAGCATACGGTCAAGCTAAACCTCTAGTCATAATGGTATGTCGGCGGAAATCAGTAGGTGGGAGTGTTTCCACGAAGCTGTTTTCATTTAAACAAATGTTGGCCACTTTTAGCTCATTTAGTTTACTTTCAAACAGCCATGAAATAAGAAACAAAACTCAAATAGTCATTTAATCTTTTTTAAACATTAGTATAACTCTAACTTTTCATCTTTTTAGTGAAATTTCATGTTAATGTCAAGATAAATCAACATTCCTGGAAAGATTAATAGCTAACTAAACCCTCTTATTAAACTGGTTTTCATTCACTAAAATCTTTGTCACTTTGTGGTCCGGACAAGTTCCTTCCCCCTTTCCTCCCACTGAGCTCTCACATACTCATACACCCTCAGCAGTTACTTGCAGTGCCTGCTCCACTTCCTCCTTTTCATGTTTCATTCAATTAATTAGTTCTTCTCTTATAGGTTTTCAAATCAGAAGATTAACAACTCAAAAGATCAAGAACCCCAATTCAATATAGTGATTCTAAATATTCTAAAGAGATCTTTTTTTTTTATTTAGAGAAATGTAATTTGTAAACAGATGCTGAGCATTTAAACTTGTGTCAGCATGTTTATTGACTGAGCTTGTTTGCTGCTCTCCTGGCTTCTTTGGTCTACATAGAAGAAAAACAACGACTGACAGTATGACCATAATAAAAGCTACTAGCAGGGCCTCCGACAGGACAGCAGCTGTGATCCTTCAGTCTGCAGTGGTCAGCTATTTCATTGTCTCTCCCATTTAATGCCTGGCATGTCATGCCAGCCTCCGATGCCTGATAATATAACAACCTCAGGGTAACCCGAAGGATGAAGCTGAGAAGACCTTTTTTTTCCCTCCTTCAATAACAAAAATATGCATCCGTTTTTGGCATTTACTTAACCATGTTTCATTACTTTAACACAATTTTTTCATGTTGCAGGGTAGGACATAAAACAGTTGCATTGAAGTAAATAAATATGATTTAGTAGATGCCAAAAACGGTTGCATTATTATTTTCAGTGTGGAGCTGCGCACACAAAATTGGACACCGTCAGCCTGTAGGACTCAGGCTTCCCACATAGAGCTGGCAGAGGGGTGGAAACTGTGTAGATAGAAGTGAAAGCAGATGCAGGAAGCTAAAATGAAAAAAAAAAATTGTTGGAACTGGACTGTTTAAAATGCACAAGTTTTTATACCATTTAGATGGGTCAAATTTATGCAAACACCATGTCACATTAAAACAGGAATTGATTATTGCAGTAGCAGAAAAAGAAAGCAGAAAAGCAGTGCTTAGACTCCACACATCTCCACATATTTTATAGAAACAGGCTAAAAGATTTCGAGAAAAAAAATATATTATTATTATAAAAAATATTAAATTTCAAAATTTCTAGACTTTCATGCAATCTAAAAAAAATAATAAAAATAAGAAATCAACAAGCACTTGAAAGGAATTAATGACTCAAACATGAAGTATTTGCAACCTTTGACATCCAAGATCTCTCTTTAGTTACTGCATAGTTTGTGTGTTTGAACACAACCTGCAGACAACTGCACACCAGACAGGGAAATCATTTAAACGTATGGAAAAGACAAACATTAGCAACACAGGAAATATTTGTGAGCATGATAACAGGACGGACGACAAGTACTGCCCAAAATACAGAATAAGACCTATCACTCTAATTCTAATGAAAGCATTTTATATGTAGGTTAATATGGTCAGGTCATAATCTCTCACATTTTCTTTGACCCATACATCCCTTGCTGTCAAACTAAAATGGAGTTCTTAAGGCATTTCATCATAAGGCCAGCAGAGGGCAGTGGTAACAATTCTATTAACAGAAAGGGATTCAACCACTTAAAGGAATAGTACACCCAAAACATGATTAGCCTTCATTTTCTACTCACCTCCATGCTGAACAACACTCTGGAGTACTTTTTTGATATCTCAAATGCATCTGGAGATCTGGGAGACTTCTTGCTGTCTGCTGACATTCAAATAATGGAGGTCTATGGCGCCCGAGACAGAAAGGTCCACAAAAGTCCACAAAAACTTGTCAATATTCCTCCATACTGCTCGTCCAATGTAATCCAAGTGTCCTGAGTGGGTAGCATCCAGAATTTACTCGAAACGAAGTCATTTAGAACGTTTTAGAGCCTAAACAGTAGTGTATAGGATTTCCTAATAGCGCCCCCATGCGCGCTCACGATTCTACGGAAGCCGGCAGACCAAACCAGCGCATTCAGCTCGGCAAAGAACTCATGCTCTTCCTCAACACTGAAGTCCTCAGACATTTTTCTTTCGTTGTTTCTTTCTTTGCACAGGTAAACAGCACATTTCTTCTTCTACGCTTGCATTATCGGCAGACCAGACGCTGAATGCGCACTTCCTTCCGGTTTGGTCTGCCGGCTTCCGTAGAATCGTGAGCGCGCATGGGGGCGCTATTAGGAAATCCTATACACTACTGTTTATGCTCTAAAAACATTCTAAATGACTTCGTTTCGAGTAAATTCTGGATGCTACCCACTCAGGACACTTGGATTACATTGGACGAGCAGTATGGAGGAATATTGACACGTTTTTGTGGACTTTTATGGACCTTTCTGTCTCGGGCGCCATGGACCTCCATTATTTGAATGTCAGCAGACAGCAAGAAGCCTCCCAGATCTCCAGATGCATTTGAGATATCAAAAAAGTACTCCAGAGTGTTGTTCAGCATGGAGGTGAGTAGAAAATGAAGGCTAATCATGTTTTGGGTGTACTATTCCTTTAAGTTATACATCCCTGCAACTCTTCCCATGAGTCTCTTTGCTGCTTCTTTGGCTGAAACTGTTCTTGTCTGAGCTGTCAGTTCAGGTGGCGGCCATGTCCACATATGCTTTAAGTTCAATCTCTAATCAGATGATAGATTGTACAGTTTTAATCAGGATTTTCAAAGCTTAGAATAAGAAAACCTCAAGGGGTGTGAATACTTTTGCATAGCCATGCAAATAATGCAGCCATGGGAAACCATATTTAATTCTTTAAGCTATGGTCTCCAAAAATGTCTGCAAAAAAACGTCTTAAAAAGCAGTTTCACTTTAATAATAAACATTTCAAACCACTCGTTCTCATAATGCATCTAAAATTTGAAAGCCAATCAGATAATGGCTTTAGGGTGTTTGACAGGAATCTCCAGAAGTTATGTTATTAATGTTGAAGTAAAGTTGTTTTTTTAATGAATCCTCTGAAGTTGGTTTGGGGAGGTTCCTTATCTCCAACAACCAGGTCCAACACAGATGAGTCAACCTCTGTCTGACCCGCTGCAGCGCAAACCTAAACCACAACATTCAATACCTAATAAACGCCAAGCAGCTCTGATGACAACACAAACACATGGACTTCTCTTCCCACCACTATCTTGACGTCAACAAAGCCATAACTGTAGACTTTTCCTGAGAAAAATCTTTCTTTCCCTTAAGTCTATTTCACAAAAACAATTTCCTCATAAAACCACAAGGATTAGCCATCTCTGAGCTCCTCTGATTACTCACATTGGGAACTAGCCCAATCCAAAGAACAAGATGGCTCAGCAGTGAAATCATCACCGTTCATCAGCAGGCACCCATGCAAAGAACAATAGCAGACACATCTAAGTCCGGTCACATCCAAGTTGGGTTTGGGTGTATCTGACAATCTTCTGAGTCGATTAGGGGGTACTGTTCAGACGAAGCAGAATTTTATACACCATTATAGGTGGTATTAAGAATGATTTTTGCCAAAAATTCAAACTTGCAATTATTTTCAACAAATATTGTGATTTATATTCAGATATAACCCTAAGCACCACAAGCACAGACACGGTTTACATTTACATTTGATCACTGCTACATTTTATGA